TATTGAAAAATGAGCAGTTATTTACGTACATTCCACACGGCGCACAGAAACAGGATACTTTAGTTGAGAGCTCAGGTAGCCAGTGCCGCGCTGACCTTTGACGGTGAGCGGGGTCATTGCTTGGGCATTCTTCGGTCAGCGTGACCACGCAGGAGGTTTAGAAAACCGTATTTTTCATCCTGAATTGAGCGCTAATTAACGCAACAATATTGACTGAAAGACATCACTGCATGAGGAAATCAGAAGTTACAAGCCTTTTTCATGATTTTTCAAAAACAAAGTGAATCAGTATTGGTCGGTTTAGTTGTAACAGAAAGTGCAAGATGGTCATGTCTGATTCCCGTTAGCGTTTCCAGTTATGACGTAACGAGCACCGATAATTAGAAAACTGAGCACCAGGATAAGTTCATCTTTGAGGGACATAATGTAATACTGGGTATCTACTCACCAAATTTCACTGCTGCCGCAGTTTCCGTAACCTCAAAATGGTTGATCTATGCATCACTTTGCCGTAAATATCCACATATTTCCCTCACTTAACTCCTCACAAATTATTGAGTAGGCTCTATTGGTTTTATTATTTTATATATATATATACACACACATGTCCTGAATCATTGTCTCTGCATGTTGTACATCTATGTGTTGGTCACTGACTGGGACAACAGACTGAGGGTTGGTGTGGCAATTCTGACTTGTACTGTGTGTGGGTCTTTTTTTGTGTTGAGTGTGCTGAGAGCACGGGTACATGTACTCTGTGTGGTTGTGTCTGTCGCAGAAATGTTAGTGCTAGGACTAGCTAGTCATCATTTCATTTTGCCTTCCCGAAAAAATTTGTACACAAGCCGAAAATAATACAAAGCAAATGAGTTAATTCTGTAAGGGCGCTTCGTTTTCCTTCATCTCATGGGATGGAACTCAAGCTGGCCAAAATATTAAATATTATATATACTGTCTCTCTTTCTCTGAGGTTAAAAAAAGCACCTTTGATCTGTTCAAACGCATCGTGTACTTTGAATGACACTTTTTTCATTGAGGTCTGGTTCTTCTTCTATTTCCGTGATGGATTTTCTGCAGCTTTCTTTGATGTCCAAAGTGGTTCACATTGCTCAACTTCGCAAAATTCCTTTTCTAGTTCGGGAACTTGAATATCAAATCAGTGAGCTTCCGATGTCAAACAAGTTTGGTTTGTGATACAAAATGGAAATATATTTGTAATTTATACTTGGCTACCAAGGCTATTTTTAAATTATTTTTTTTTGCAAAGGAGCAAGATCAAAATTGTATATAACCTACTACTAGAAAGGCACACACGATACACATTCGAATTTGACGGTCATTGTGAAACAATACTAGTCCTGCGTCTAGGAAAAAACACATTTTAACTCATTCGCTACGTATTATTTTCGGATTGTGGACGAATTTTTTTTCGGGAGAGCGAAAGAGATGATGACTAGTGGGCAGTTAAAAGGTCCATGGGGCCACAAATTCCAATAAATATCAACGTATATACCAATATTTTCAATATGGTTTGTAAAATACATCTGTAATGTTTATTTATGTATTTTTCAACGTTGGTTCCTGTAAGAGACGATTATGCAACACAATTTTGATTGGATGCGGATAAAATTTGAAAATAAAAAAGGCCGGCACTATTTCTCCGAACGTTCGGGAAAATAAAGCTGGGCACTATTTCTCCGAACGTTCGGGAAAATAAAGCTAGGCACTATATATTTCTCAGAACATTCGGGAAAATAAAGCTGGGCACTATTTCTCCGAACACTCTGCACGGCGCACCGGCAGTGGAATTTTAGTTGCTGAGGGGGGTTCCCCGCCGGGCGCCTTATCACGTCGGGGTCACGGGGGTCAGCTCCCTGTCGCCGCTCTGTCTGGGCCGACTTAATTTTTGGTACTTTTCAACGTACAATTTAAGGTGCATCCTTGTATTTATGGTAATTCTCATTTAGTGCACCCAAAGCACGCATTTCTGCTCTTGAGACTTAAAAAAGAACGGACGTTGTAACTTGTCTGGTTATTTTGTTAAACGCGCTGGAGTCGGCAATGCTAAATTGTAATTTTTTTGGGACTAGCGTGAATGAAAAAAAATCAATATAAAAAAAACGCATCGTCAAAATCTGTCGAACTTTTGGAATATGAACGACATAACATTAGTGCAGATACTCAGAAAAGATGGTATCTGCGCTGTAATTTTGCAATTTTATCCATCGGGCACACAATTCGCTACGAAGTAATTCCTCCAAATACAACTTTATGTGTCTAATATAATCATGAATATTCGCATATTTTCTCGAAAGTTTATAAAAGTTATCATGAAGTTTTTCAATGAAAAGTACAAATCGATTTTAGTGCTAGAATATATCTTCACCGTAGATCTAATACACGAACAGTATCTGTTACACTCCAGAAATTGCTTACTTTTCTTAAAACGCTAAGTCTAGGTTTTGTAAGTTGACTGAATAATAGGGTTGACTTCTCGTAATTGGGTTATAAGAATAATTTCTAGCTTTCCAGGGACACTGAATCAGCACCAGACTTTTCCAGCTTTTTTTACGTTTCTATGACCATTTGCAATAACTGACAATGTGACTGATTTCTTTACATTCATAATTGTGTCCGCGCATATTTCCTACACAAAAACTAAGAATGAATGTTTTAGCTGTCATTATTTTTATTCCATACTAGAAGTTTATCTCTACCCATGTATTTACACGGTTTTGTGGTTTTTTAAATCGCTTATATTATATCTTTTTAGTTGTATGCAGGCTGCCACAGACACAGAATGATTCATGAACAAACGCAGAGTAACTTTCTCTTGTTTAATAGTAAAATAAGAGCTAACGCTGATCGTCTTTAGTTAAAATATGCAGATGTGCATCTTTCTTCTCTTATAACTTGACTATTACTACTACCGCAGATTTAAGATTTCTCATGGTAAAAGACATGATATTCGTAGTCAGTTTAACACAGAATTTGGAGAGATCTGTCGTGCCTTTTTAAAAACGAAGTGTATACAGACCCGGTAACCGGGAACAAAGTCACGAAGTATACAGACCCGGTAGGGGAACTCTTTTGTGATTTCGGGAAGTTTCAGCCCCCAGACCCGGTAGAAATCGTGTGTGTGTGTGTGTGTGTGTGTGTGTGTGTATGTGTGTGTGTGTGTGAGAGAGAGAGAGAGAGAGAGAGAGAGAGGTGCTAGCAAAATGTAATGACATGCCCCAGTTGGCAGGAGGGAACGAGAAAAAGATAGAGTGTGAAATAGGTGGGGACGACGGAAAACAGAGACAAACAAAGAAAAAGAGAAGGCGAAGGCGAGCGATGCACACACACACACACACACACACACAC